AATCTGGTTCCAGCTGACCTTGAATTTCTGCAAAAGTCAAATAAACATTTCATATGCAAGCAATGCACAACCGATCGTAGAAAGTCTTTACTCTCCCCAACCCGTGTGAGTGCTCAATGTAAAGATGCAGTTGCTGTTGGTGGTGCCTCGGCAAATTCGGAAACTTCGGCCAATAAAACTAACTCGTCAGAACAAAAAAGTGCTAATCAAGAAATTACTCTACAAACTATTTTGAATGAGCTTGTCGCTCTGAAACTCTGAAAACTCTTCTGCGCTCTCTTTGATAAAGTCTCTGCAAAATGATAAACAACTTCTTCTCAAAAAAGTTGATTCTCTTCAGCTTGAAGTTCAGGCTGTGAGTAGGCAACTGTGTGATTTTGATATGGCTGCTATCATTGCAGATGTGAAGTCTGCTGTCATAGACTTTCGTAAGAATGTGCGTGTATTTGCAAATAATGTTCAAGTGAACGCTACCTCTGCCCATGCAAATCCTACTCAAGAGAATACCACTCATATTGCTCCGCTGATCACGCCTTCTATTAACACAACGCTACCTGCTTCCTCTCTGTCTTCTTCGTCACCCTCGTCTGCTGCTACCAATTATCCCACTCCTACTCCACCGCCTGTGAAAGACAAAAATGTACCTAAGCTGCCTAATATACATAGTTCGGCTACATCGCATATCTCTAACTCTTCGCCATCTTCGTATGCTGCTGCTGCTGCTAACGCTCCCATTCCTACTTACCCAACTGCTAGTGACAAAAATGCAAACAAGCAGTCCAACACACAAACTTCGTCTACATCGCAAATCTCAGCTGGCGAGTTAAACAACGCAAAGAGGAATGAAAAAGCAGCTGCGAACGACAAAAACGTAAACAAGCAGCCTAACACACAAACTTCGGCTACATCGCCTATCTCCAACTCGTCTTTGTCATCTTCATATGCTGCGGCTAATGCTCCCATTCCTACTCACCAAACTGCTAATGACAAAAATGCAAACAGGCAGTCCAACACACAATCTTTGGCTACATCGCTAAACTCTGCTGGCAAGTTAAACAGCGCAAAGAAGAACGAAAAAGCACCATTGATTGTTGTTGGTTTGAATGCTAGCAAAGAGCTTGATGTGACATTTCGACTGAAGTGGCTGCACTTGTCTTCGTTTTCTAATTCGGTCAAAGCGGAAAACATAATTAATTATGTAGCTAAACACGCAAACATTAAACCCAGCATGCTTTCGTGCTCTCCCCTAGTTAAAAAGGATGTTTCTATAAATACTCTAAAGAGTGTAAACTTTAAACTGGGCGTATCTAACTTGCACTACGAAAAGCTCTTAAATCCGGACTTATGGCCTGCAAATGTTGCTGTGCGCCCTTTTAAATTTATGCCAAAAAACGACGACTCTCAGACAAAAACCCAAAGTTCGATAATGCAAACCACAAGCACTTAAAAATCTATTTTCATAATGTCTCTGGTCTTAGGACAAAATCTAAATCTCTTCATCTCATGAGTTCGCAGTTAGATTACGATATCTTCGTTATCATAGAAACGTGGCTAAACGATAACTTCTTCAGTCATGAGTTCTTCGATCCAAACTTGTTTGAAGTATTCCGCAAGGACAGAGATGCAGTCAAAACTGGATGTGCTAGAGGTGGTGGTGTCCTTATTGCGATCCAGAGGAAACATAAGGCGTTTTTCTACGAGCTAAGCAACAATAATTCGCTGCTGGACCAACTCTGCGTGTGTGTACAAAGCCCTCGGGAATCGCTCTTCATCTGCGCTTCATACATTCCGCCGAATAGCTCAGATGAGCTGTATAAGGCGCATGTAGATAATATTTTGTCTCTAAATGCAAATTGTGCACCAGATAACCATCTTGCTGTCTTAGGGGACTTTAACTTAAACAACGTTATGTGGTCTAATATAGTTAAGACCTCTGGCCTTTTACCAAGCTGTGTGAATAGTAGTAGCGAGATATATTTAATTGATAATTTTTTAAGCATTGATATTAGGCAAATAAATTACTTTCACAATAAGCTTCAGAGGTTTTTGGACCTAATATTTATTAGCACTAATGTTAACTTTCAGTTGTCCGAGTGTAATTTTCCTTTCAAGGAGCCTGATATGTATCATGTTCCCTTGGTATTAGATATTTATTTTTACTCATACCTCAGCTTAGACGATAAAAACACAAAAGCATCTTTTAACTATAATGTATGTAATTTTTCTAATCTAAATAGTATATTTCTCAATATAGACTGGGACAGGTTATTATGTAATCTTAGTGTGGCATCATGTTTTAATATCTTTAAATCTAAAGTAGTTGAAGTTTGTCAAAATAACATTCCAATCTTTGGTAAAAAGCTATACAAAGTTCCATGGCATACTCGAAATCTTAAAAGAATAAAAAATTTAAGAAACAAATACCACCGCAAATTCAAAAAGACGAGCAATTATTCGTT